AATACGTCAACGCGATTGAGGATCATCTCGCAGCCGGTTTCGTTGAGGAAGTCGACGAATACGTCTTTGATAACCATCGCGTCTACTATATTCCTCATCAGGCAGTTTACAAGGAGTCCTCTTCGACAACGAAGTTACGCATAGTCTTCGATGCATCGTCTAAGACTCGGGGTGCACCCAGTCTTAACGATTGCCTCCATCAAGGACCTACCTTGTTGCCGGAATTAGCCGGTATCCTCTTGCGCAGTCGTCTTTATCGTTTCCTCTTGATCGCAGATGTCGAAAAGGCGTTTCATCAGATTCGCCTTCAACGCTCGCAACGAGACGCTACTCGTTTTCTCTGGCTCAAAGATCCGTTTAGTCCGCCATCGCCAGGCAATTTACGAGTCTTTCGGTTTACGCGCATACCCTTTGGGGTAAACGCGTCGCCGTTCATGTTAGCTGCCGCCATTCAATTCTATTTACGCCATCTTCGCAGTCCGCTCTCCAAGGAAATTGAGCGCAATACCTACGTTGATAACGTCGCACTCGGAGCTACGTCTCACGCAGAAGCCATCCAAAAATATCAGATGGCAAAATCTGTCTTTGGTGACATGCACATGAATCTGCGACAATTCGTGTGCAATTCGAAGGTTGTCAACAACTTCATACCAGCGCAGGATCGAGTCGCCGATCGGCAGTGTACAACACTCCTAGGCATCGCATGGAACTACCATCGGGATAGTCTTAACATGGCGATCAAAACGTTAGACGTTCCAGTCAACTCCAAGCGCACAGCACTTCGTGCTCTAGCGTCTACGTACGATCCTCTTGGTCTACTTACGCCATTCTTTACTAACATCAAAATCTTCGTTCAAGACCTGTGGGCCAAGCAGTTGGCTTGGGACGCACCGTTAGATCAGTCTGATCGTCAGCGTTGGTCAGATCTTCTTGTCGATCTCAAACATCCACTTCCGGCGATACCTCGTCTCGTTCTGCCGCAGTCGTACACCTCTGGTTCGGTAGAGTTGTGTGTCTTTGGAGACGCGTCCAAACGCGTCTACGCTTGTTGCGCATATCTTCTTCTGCAATCGGCATCTTCTACGACGTCCAGGCTCGTTATGGCAAAATCGCATCTCAACGACCTCAAGCCCATAACGATCCCTCGCTCAGAACTTCTTGCAGTTCTAATCAGTGTTCGCCTAGCGCAGTATATCGTCCAGCAACTGGACATCACCATCTCGGCGATTCACTTCTTCTCGGATTCGCAAATTGCCCTACATTGGGTCCATTCAACGCGACAGTTTCAAAGTCTTTGTCCAAAATAGGGTTAATTCCATCAAAAATATCCTAGCGTCGTTCCACCAGCAAAATATCGCCACAAAATTCTACTATGTCGCATCCAAAGACAATCCGTCGGATTGCGCTACTCGTGGTCTGTCCACAAAGGACGCAAAAAATCATATCTGGTGGACTGGGCCATCGTTTTTACTTCAAAATCCATCTCTATGGCCAAACGCGCTTGCCAAAATCGTCATCTGGCAACACCATTTGCAACAGCGCCATTCGGGAGTATACTCCACCATTTCTAGCTTGCGCAAAACGTATTTCATACCATCAATCCGCAGTATTGTCGCCAAAACGCTCCGCGAATGCGTCATCTGCAAAAAAGCTAACGGTCACGCATATCGTTATCCAGACATGCCCACTCTGCCAAAGGAACGGACGACAAGATCAAGACCGTTCCAGAATGTGGGCATCGACTATCTCGGTCCGTTAAGCTATCGCAGCGTTTTTTCCGCGTCAAACAAGGTCTGGATATGCCTCATTACATGTATGACAACTAGAGCGGTGCATCTTGAACTCGTCATGAACAACACAGTTCAAGAATTTCTGTTCGCTTTTCGCAGGTTCATCGCACGCAGAGGTACTCCGGACCTCATTTACAGCGACAACGCAAGCACTTTTCGCGCAGCAGACGACGCTCTTACTAAAGTCATTTACGCGCCAGGTCAATGGCGACCTATTGCAGAATACAGCGCAAAGCACAAAATCACTTGGAGGTTTATAACGCCGCTATCCCCCTGGAAAGGAGGATTTTACGAGCGCATGGTCCAACTCTTCAAATCCGCATTCAAAAAGTCCGTTGGACGCGCAGTTCTCACTCTCGAAGAGTTGCAAACGGTCGTCGCAGAAATCGAAGCAGTCATCAATGCTCGCCCAATAACACCTTTTCGCGAGGGCGACACTTCAGTCAGCGCATTAAGACCTATCGACTTCACGTCACCAGAAGTCGACATTCAAATTCCGCAGTCAGACCATCTTGGCAGCGAAATCGCCAGCTCAGCGCACAAACTATCAGACTGGTACAAAGAGTCGCTCAAAGTGCTCGACAAATTCTGGGACATATGGCATACAGACTATCTTGCAGCCTTGAGGGAACGCCACCAGTTGCGCATGAAGCAGCCTAAATACTCTTTGGCGCCTCCTCAAGTCAACGACATCGTCATCGTCGCAGATGACAGCTTGCCGCGTAGCCATTGGCCTTTGGGCCTCGTTATCAAAGTCAATTCTCAGCGCAGATGCAAAACCGCGCAGCGCAGATGTGCGCATGACCAACGGTAGAGTTCTAACTCGCTCACTGGCTCATCTCTATCCACTCGAAATTCGAGCGAATAACACGCCAAACTGCGATTCAGAGCGATCTCGCGCAAGCGCCGCAAAACTGCCGCCGCCAAGGACGCAGCCGCCACGAGCTGCAAAAGCTCGTCACAAATTCATTCGCTAGCATCCTTTACGTCGTTCAAATCATCTATGCGCACTTGCCTTTTTCAATACCGCAGTCGCTCTATAGAGCAGAAGCGCGCTCCAATGCAAACATCGTGCGCGCCGGCGCCTAATCGCAGATTTCGAATATCATCATCATTACTTCCAGGCGTCTACTCGCTCTCGACGACGATTTTTTCTTCATTTTTTCCACTTCCACCTATTCTGCACTCACAGCACGTCACCATACAACACTGGTATTCTTATTTATTCGTATAACGTCAGCACCAGCACAATCCGGTCAGGTACCCCTTTGCCTTTTGTGTGCGTTTTCATCTATATGCAGTGTACGTTAAATTTCTTTGTAAATTTTCCCTTTCTTTGCGCAGTTGCTTATTTATTTCATGTTAGTATTGTGCGCAGTTTCCCTGTGAACCCGTTTTTCTGTTTTACGAGCGCAGATGCTGCTAGTTTTTCGTAACTTTTCGCACGTACGCAGCCAAAACGGGTATGCTGCCCATCAAACGTAGTCTTTTTCGCAAATTAACTATTTTGTTTTTTCACATCGTCTTTTTTACTTAGTACTATGCGCACTAGTTTTTCTAAACACCTCTAACAGCCGTTCCGCGCAGTTGCTTTTTTAGTTCATTCCCCTTTCCATGGTCCATTTTGCAGTTTTTCGTATATCTCCCCGCGCAGTACACTGCATACGCCCGCACGCGCACCTGACCGCACCCACTCATCTCGTTCGTTCATTACGGCAATAGTGTAGTTTACCATGCTCATTATTTAAGTAGTTTTGCACCAAAACATGCACTCGCACATTCATTTTTTGACTTTATTTTCCGCAGTTCGGTCATTTGCGCGCAGTTTACGTGGTGATAGTTTATCAACGCATTATATAAGCTTAGCTTTCCTCATTTTGAGGTAGTTTCGCTCACGCAGAGGACTGACCACCCTCGATACTATCATCATGCATCATCGTTCAAAGTCTCGCTCACGACAAGCGCACTCTCGAAGGCAGGTAAGTCCTGCCCCGCGAACAGCAAGGCAGCGCAGTCGCGATAGAGCTCGATCGCGCACTCGTTCCAGTGCAGTACAGCCGCAGTTTCGTTCGCGCAGTTCGTCTGAGCAAAGCGAGCAGCAATTCACAGCGCAGTCGACGATACCTGAGGCATCTCAGGTACAAGATCTTTTCGACACCGCGCAAATGTCAGCTTTTCTCAGACAGAACCCTAACATCGACGCGCCAATACTGCGCACGTTAATCACTGAAATGCAGAGAGTGCAGCGCGCACCGCAAGCAGTGGAATCAGAGGTACCGCAGCCGCCAGAGACTGCGGACCCTCTGGTCCTCACTGAAGGAAATCCAGAATGGCGTGAACCAATCATACGCCGCCCTACGACGCTAGAAAGTCTTCGTGCTCTGCTGCGCAAGTCAAACCCGCAGCAGTCGTTGTTACGCGCAGATGATCAAGAAACGCAATATGCGTCGCTTTCGTCGCAAGATCGTGATGCACTTCTTTTGTTGCAGCGTCTCACAATCGCATCAAATCCAACGCACTTGTTTGAGCTGCGACATTTAAGCGCACATGATTTCGTCTATTTTGACGCATTTTTACGTTCAGATTTTTGCAGAATGATCCGCAGCTACTTCACCAAGGAGATCTATGTGCCGCAGTACGCAGAAGAAGAAATGTCGCAGTATCCGCAGATGACTGTGTACGAGATAGTGCACAATCTCAAGGGTGTCCAGCAGTTAACCCATCAGTTAACTGATTATATCGCGCAGTTGGCAAAGAACAAAGCCGCTCCAAAGGACCCCGCAGTGCTCTTTGAACAAATTCAGCAGATACAGTCGTTTATAGATAATATCAATACGCGCCATCTCTCCTTCTTAGCGCACTTTCAAGTCAGGTGTTTCAAAAAAGACCTTCCGCATCCGCACCTGACAGATCTCCTCGCATACTACGGTCTTCATTTCGCAGATTTCGACGTCGCATCTGCCGCAGCGACAGCAGCCATCGCTGAAGCGCGCACAGTCATAACGCACCAGTCCGCACTGCTTCGCGAGATGCTTCAAACATCCTTCGAAGCCAAAGCTGAAGTCCAAGAGGCAGTCCATCAAATTCAACGCGCAGCTACTCAAAGGCAGCAACAACAGCCTTCAACTTCCGCGCAGTTGCCTCCTCAGCCAACAGTAGAAAAGCAGCGCAGGACTGCTCCAACACCAGCTCCGCGACCTCTTCCGCAGCCTACTCACATTTCGCAGCCAGCTCGGTCAGCGCAGTCGTTTCAGCCTGCTCGCCCGGAGGCTCCTCCGGATCTCTACGCGCACTCGGAAGCTTCCTCATACGAGGAAGAAGAAGAGCCGTATGGAGATACGGAAGGCCCACCGCAGCGCATTCGCAGTCGAACGCAAAGTCCGGGAGATCAGCCTCCTGAGGAATGGCGTGTCCAGCCCATCACTAAGGACACGTTCAGGCAAAAAGCTCGCTGCTTCTTCTGCGCAAGGGAGCACTATTCCTCTGGTTGCCACAATGTGCCGCGGCTCAAAGAAAGAATAAGGATACACGCAGAAAACGGCAGGTGTTTCATTTGCGGCGGCGACCACGGCGAAGAGCATTGCGATTCGTCAAGTATTGCAGAGCATGCCGCGCACGCGATCACCACACAGCGTTCTGCTTCAGCAATAAGCACGTCATCGCAGACATCATGGGCATAGAGCTCCGCGATTACCTATACGACGCAAAGCAGTACGCACGCGGCGTCAGGCAGCGGCGCAGAATGCTTTGAGCAAAACTCAAGCAAGTATAAAAGCGCACTTGACTTTTTTATCTTTCTGTATTACGCGCAGTAGTCAATTTTGGGCGTAAGCCCGCGCAGTTTCGGTAAGCGCACTTTCACACTAAGGACAAAATCCATGGTGTGGATTTTCAAAGCGCACTTTTCGTATCGCAGTTTCTTTTGGTCCTGCTTGTCAGACCACGCAGTTTCGTCGCGCACTTTCCACAAAGTGCTTGTTTATGTCAGTGTTTTATGATTCGCGTCAATGGACGCACCCTTGGGGCACGCGGTGGGAGACCGCGTTTCAGTCTTTCGTCAGTCCCGGGTTTTAAGCTACGTGCCTTCATTCAACGACCCTCGGGGAATGTTTCGCAGTCTACGTGAGGAAAATTCTCCCCCTCACACTAAAAGAAAAACCCCTTTGGAGCATAAAACTCGCTCCCGTATTCTTTTCGTAGGCCCGCAACTTCTCATCGACTCGTCGCCATATCGCCATCGCCTACTACATCCGTCGAAGATTCCATCTACTGACGTCGAAGCGCACTTGGTGAAGACAACGCAGTTGTTGAGGAGCCAGCACTATTCGTCAACTTACTCGCAGTCACAACGTGATCGTTTTATTGATTACGCATTGTATTGTTTTATTTGTAGTTACTAACATTGTTGTACTGAGAAGAAGCCCATGGCCCCGCAAGTCGAAGATTGACCCATGGTTCCTCGCACCCATGTGAGCTGGGGGAAACACATGGCGACTTAGGCCCAATCTGGTAGGCGTCGATTGACGTGTGTGTAATTTCGCATAGGTGAGCGGTACCATCGAGCTCCTGTGGCGCGAGCGGTTTCGTCTTTTGCCGCCCCCAGTGTCGTGACTCTCGTACGACCTCTACGCGCAGTGTCCGTCGTCACGTCTCATTGTCAAGCTACACGCGCAAGTGTCAGAAGATGTTTAAAGGTCGGGTCGTCAGAGTTCCGCATTGGGTCCTATCGCGCATATGTCGAGTACGCAGCAGTTCCCGCCAATTCTGGTTCTGGAAGTTCCCGCTCATTCCAGCGTCAGTCGTCTCCAGCGTCACCGTCACGGACGGTCGTCTCACGTGTCGTCTCCTGTGTTGTCCTGCACAGTCGTCTCTTCCTCACTGTTGCCGATCCTGTATTCCTACTCTCTTCGTTCGAGCGCATAGCCCTTATTGCGCAGTCGGCTGAGGATTCCCGCAGCACCCGTTCTGGTGTGAAGGCGCAGTTGTCCGTCCCCCGGACAACCCTTGGTGCGCGAATGGTATGGAACACGAGGACGCCAAGCCCCGATGGCCAGGATGGAGTGCGCAGGAACCCTCGTCCCTCTACGGACAGTGCCCGGACGTGCCGAACGCCCCCCGGCTAACACTGTCGCGCAAGGACGAGGGGGCTCGTGGTATCGGCGACCCCTAATGAGGCGAGGACACCATCCCGTAGGTTTAGTAGTCTTAAGTTCGCATATTGTGTAATAGGCATAAAGCCACCTTTTACTATTTGTGTTCTGTTATGTACGAAGTAACGCGCAGAAAGTGAAGCGCATTCTTTAAATACTTTATTCACTTTCTTTCACAAGTGCGGTTTCTTAGAAAATCAATATCTGTTGACCGCAAGTACTAACAACATCAATATCAATGTAGTACGGTCATGGTAAGCGGGAGGTTAGTAGCGCAGGTGACAGGCAACATCTTGGGAAGTGCAGGATGGGGTCAAGCGCATCTGCCGTCATCAGGAAAGCGCAGTGGACTTCCGACAGGAGGACAGAACAAGGGGCAGCGGAGGATGAGGACCGCAGGTAGCGTGGCAGGCAATGCAGGCGCGTGTCCCTCCGCACATCATCTAAAATCACGGCACCGGTCAGCAAGCCGCTCGTACGTCTTCTTGCCCCAGGCTTGCCGCACCGGCGTCGCGACATGAGGTCTTTGCACATGTTAGGCTGATAGCCTCTATCATTTCAGCAAGCATCATGCTTTGATTGATCACGCATCCCATGAAAAGTTATAGGATACACTCTGGAAGTGGAATATCTCGTCACATTGGCAATCGAAGGGCGCTGCTGCTGGGGGCGGAGCACAGACCGTGGCGGGGCTCAGAAAGGAATGGCAAGCCTTGTACGCTGCAACTAGCGCACCTTTGACCACAAAAACGCAACATTTCGTTTCCTTGGGCCCCTGACTACTGCTTCCAATGGTGCATGTACTTCCACGCTGCATACGCACTTTATCGTAATCTTCTCGCTTTTTGCACAGAAGTGTAGACTGCGCAAATCAACAAACTATAATTGATACCTTTTGTCCTTATAGTTCTGATTTGAGTAGTACACGCCGATAATATTTGGATAGGAGGCATGAACAATAGCTAAAGCAACTTCCACGGCAGGTGCGAGAGGTGGCAGACGCATTCATGCGGAGATATGAAAGCGCAGAGACGTGATCACAAAACATTTTGCACAAGTGTGATTAGCGAAGGAATTCAAAGTAAATCACAGCACCATCATTACTCCACAATGACACGTGCAATATATAGCAGGTTCTGCACGCTCTGCTTTGGGACAAAAGCTGGTTTCTCGCGAGCCCATGTGCAAGCCACTGCACTGTGGGCAAAGCTTATAACTAGACCCTCAGGTTCGCCACTCTCTTTTTATATTATTCTATTCTATGGTCTCAAGATTTTATGACGTTTATTCAGGGAATAGCCACTCTCAATCCGATCTAGTGGGGTTTTCTACTCAACGCACTGTAGTGCGATTCATTCGAGATTGCACATGCGAAGGATGCATGCGCCCAGATCGTCATATGACTCAAGTTGCAGACTCATGATGGTCCTTCTAATGGGTAGATGATCGACGGAAACAAGAGGGCTATGAAGTTTGCCAAAAAACGTATCTACCGCGTTCAAAGAGGACCATGATGAAACTGTCGATTCGACAGGATCAGGATTAACATTGTGAAGGGTTTGGCATAGAAATCTTCAAATATAAGCTTGCAAATACCATAAACGACAAGCTCCCTCGGATAGGGAGAGAAAGAGGAGAGTTAAAAAATTGGGAGCTTGAGGAGCCGGGCCACGAAGGGAGCCTTTACGTACACCGACGAGAAAACCTTTTATATTTTTCTTGTCTTCATTCGAGAAAATTCAGAAATGATTACAAGAGGTTCCGAAGAAACTAGCAAAGCAGGAACAACTGAAGTAAAATACACCTTCTAGCTTAGCGCCATGACAGAATCTGGGCAACCACGACTTCTTCATCTCAGTGGGTTTCACCTGTGTGGAAGTAAAATCTAAAGCCCAATGCTATCCAGGACAGCATTTGGAGAAATAATCTGTCAAATGCGTACACGTAATGATTGAATTAACTAGCAAGGCTATACGTCCACTCATGGATTGACTTTCGTGAAAGTCTGCTGCAGAGCCCATTTGTCCGACTTTTGGCTTCACAAAGATTGGCCATCCAAAAGCTCCATTGTAAATCTATCGGAGAGAATTTGAATATCGCTAACACTGCTCTCCAAAAATTATGAGATAAAATTTTGAAGGATGTCATGCGAGCAAAGGCCAATTTCTGTACGATGATTTCAACGAAAATTGCCGACTTCAAACGCGGCCATTTTGAATAAGAAATCCTAACAATTGTCTGAATGGAAATGGTCATGCTTGGTATCCTGTCTCGACCTTTCTGGTGCAAATTAGGCCATAATTACTTTTTCACCAAACTTATGCCCCACTCTGTAGGAAAAGATGCCGCGTCGATGTGTGTAGACGAGTATGAGAAAACAAAGCTAATATTAACCACCTTTTCAAGAGCTTCCCATTTTTCACTATCACACGATTGTAACGTAACCAACAAACCGTAGGGTAACAGAACTATAGCGGGGTGAAAATGTACCAACTCTTTCAGAATGATAGCTTTGTCATATAACAAAACTTCTGCTACCCGAAGCCGAGATATTTACTATATAGGATGCCTGCCTGAGGTGGCGAAGGTATATTGTGACCACGTTTCAGCAACAAGAGAGTACAGGTGCCTATTGATACTTTGAAGTATGCCTAAGCAAGTCCGTTCAATTAGCGCTCATGACTAGGCCGATGGGACCGCCACAATGAAAGAACTTCGCGAAAAGGTGTGTAGCAAAGTCTGGGATGGCGGTAAGCTTACCCCACTATATATGAGGTGCGTTTCAAAAGTATGGAAAGCACCCTTGAAAATAGCTGCTCTCAGGATAAAGGCTCCATGATTCACAACCTCGTTGATTGAATTCAGCGTGCTCTGAAACTATGGCTCACTTCATTCAAGAACGAAATCTAAGCTGCAAACATTTTTACAAGAAAATATGAGAATGACCCCTGTTTCAAAATATAGAGGCACCCTGGTTAAGAGGACTTCGACTAAAAAAATTCTTCCTGTCAACTCTTTTGCGATTCTGGGCATGCTTAGTGAAAGCATACTACCTCCTACATGTGCCTGCAGATTTGAACTTTCTACAGACAGAAGAACAGCATCCAGATGGTACCGCTACGTCTTGACAGGACACCAGAGGTCATCCACAATACCTGTTCTCCAGCAGCGTAGATCTGCCACACAATGGTTCCCAAAAGTTCCTATAGGATATAGATGCGAATTGCATGAGGGGCAACCAACCTA